ACACATGAATTAGTATACGACGTATCATTCAATCAACGTTATTATAATATTCAAGTAAAGTTCGAAGGCTATAAGGGTCACTTAGGCCTTTATAATAAAAATCAGTTAGAATAGTGGAGTTTGAGCAAAGGCGTAACGAGAAAGTCACAGTTAGTGCATTCAGTCAGTCTCAGTTATGAAGTCAAAAGCGAATCTGTATTGATGTTGGAACATACAGAGAGGAGGGTAGGCAGAGTGTGTTAGGGGCGTTGAAAGAAAGCTTACAAGTGAAGTCAACGGAAACAATCTGACAACTTTTTGCGATGTCAACTTGACCTGGCAATTACCGCACAGTTCAGCTGAACGCCTCAGTATTAGCTGACCTTGCGTTTGTGTGTTCAATATGCAGTTGCGAAAGAACAGTTTGCTACAAATGACAGCGGTTCACTGTTATTATCGTCTGTTTTTAAGATATTTCTGTCTGTTTTTCCGAATGTGTGGACCATTCCCAAATCTTGCTTGATCTCTATGACTTAAAAAAACTCTAGCAGGTTTGAATGTAGTCAAGATGTAGTCTACCTATTTGTAGTTGCCGGGTTTGAGACTCACCTGGCTCAAGCTCTTAACTGGTTTTCGTCTTAGTCTAATGGGCCCTATTTTACCTATTCATAAAGCACTGAAAGGCATCTAACTCCATCACGTCTTCCTCGCCAACGTAAGATTAACATTCAAGAACTCAGGCAAACTTCTCGATCATATATGGCTTGCCTTTTGCTTATATATTTGACTTATTCATCTATATGCAGTGACTCTGTGTAGCCTTCACACAGTAACACAATCAAAACATAATGAAATCTAAACTAATGCATCAAGACCGAATTCTGAATTGAGGGATACGAACTATGAGGGAGAAAAGAGTGAAATAGGATAACTAATTAAAGACCAAGACTCTATGTAACTTATTAATGATCAGAAAGAACATTCTCCGATTATTTCACTAGAAAAAAAAATTATTAACAAAATTAGCACATGATTACTTACACTACCTAACTTTAAGATATTATTTCCCATGAGGATAACACCTCAGCGCTAAAATTGTAAAAATGATCAGAAAATGTATTTTTAACCTACTGCTCAGAATCCAGCAAACTTTAAACCCGAAGGGATTATGTAGCGCCCGTGGAACGGGAGGCATTCAAATTCGATCCAGTTAAGGGGAAAATATGCTCAGTTCCTTGGATTTAGAGCCCCTCACCAATATCAAAGCAAACTACTGCATCTGTGTAAAATAATACCATTTCATTTCGACATTGGAAAGTGGCAAAATGGTATGTACACATTCCATTAAATATACCAACCTTCCTGTAATAGGTTAAACAAGTGTTGAAATTTTGAAGGCTGTCAAAGAAGTGTCTCCAATTAACACACTGATACAAAATTTGGGAATGATCTAAGTAACATTGTACATACTGCAGCCATACATACATAAAGTCCCATATATCTTGCCCAAGATACATTACACCAGCGTAGAAAATTTGAAGTCGATTTATTAAGGCATTCGTGAGTAATAAACGAAAATATATGAGATCAAATGAAAATGTAGCTGAGAATTTTCCGAAAAATAGGAAAGTCTCCCCTAGTTTAATTTAAAAAACTATCATTTGTCTTATTTTTAAAATTTAATACAATCCTGTAAAAGAAAAACCTGATTTTGATTTAAAAAAAAATCCATTTTAATAAGCTTAGCAAAAATAAATGCAAACGCCCATTCGGTCCAAAATTAATACAAAAATTCTTCCAGTTAAGATATAGCAGTACAGTATTTAGAGTTTGAAGCCGATCAGAGGAGGCATTCTCTGGTTATTATATTGGTAACAATTTATTTAATGAAACTGGCAAATTAAAATTTACACAGCTCAAAGTGAGTGATAGCTTAGGTTTAATAGAACCCACTAATGATTAAAGTTTGAAACCGATCTGGTAAGGCATTAATCTGGGTCCGACTATTCCCAGTTTTTAACTATTTCCTTACATTTTCAAATTTGCGCCTACTCAAGCAAAAGTTGTGGGTCACCATCCTTCTAACAGGAACCTTCGTTATTAATAAAACTCATGGAAGGGCAAAGACGACTGGTAACAGTACAGGCATACTGGAGTAGGGTTTCAAACTGCTTTGAAGGAGGAGGACCTCGGAGGGTGCATAGATGCATTTCTCCTGAGGAACACATCACCGTTTTACCGCTACAGCAAACACGAGACTGACAAATTTAAGAGTAACCTTCAGGAACGTCAACAAGCAGGCATTCACGACCTTATATACCACATATGTGAGGATTATCTTCGAGTATGTAACGCCAGTAAGTAACCTGCACATATGCAGTATAATGTGATCCTTTATTGACAATGTTTCGCCCACACAGTGGGCTTTTTCAAGTCACAAACAGATCTACCTGGGGTGGAAGGTACGTGAGTATTTATAGTCAGGTTCAGAATGCTGTGGTCAGGTGGAGAATGCTGCATCTGATGATCTACCGAGTGGGTTTATAGAGTCTAAAATCTTGGGTAGCTTGGAAGGGAGATTTGATAAGTTTGTGAGCAGACCTGCAGTGTTACTCCATTCCTATGTTCTTATGTGGGATAGCGATGAAGAAGTTTCTTGGCAAGTGGTTCAGCTATGTTATAGAAGCCATTGTTCTGTTTGAAGTTGTTGGATATAGAGATAAGCGATGATTCTAGGATTCTTCTGTATTGAGTGTTGTCTTCTGTGATAAGTCTTGAGTTTCTGTAGTTTATTAAATGGTTGTGTGAATTACGGTGTTGTACACAGGCATTCCTTGTATCGTCAGACGTGCTTACGTATTGGTGTTCTGAAATACGTGTTTGGAGGTCTCTTGATGTTTCGCCCACGTATAATTTGCTGCAGTCATTACAAGGGATTATGTATACCCCTGCAGAGGATGGAAGCTTGTCCTGTCTATTACTGGTAATGTCCTTGATGGTCGTGGTTGTGGAGGTAGATACTTGGAATGAGCTATTGGAAAAGATGTTGGAAACGTGTTTGGCAATGGAGTTGGTGGGGAGGACTATGTATCTCTTCTCGGCAGTGTCTTCTCTGGGTGTGTTGAAGATGTTTAATGCCCGTCGTCTGCAGTCTCTGATGAAGTGACGAGGATAGTGGAGTTTAGAAAATACTTGTTCAATCATCGTGCATTCTTCTTCAAGAAACTCATTGCTGCAGATTCTGAGTGCACGTAGGAAAAAGCCTATAATTACACCAAGTTTAGTTTTGGTGTCGTGGTGAGAGTAGAAGTGGAGAAGATCGTTTTGGTTGGTGGGTTTTCGATAGACTTTAAAACGAAGTTCATGGTCAGCTTCGCAGAGAAGAACATCAAGGAAAGGAAGAGTGTTGTCGACTTCTTCTTCAAGTGTGAACTGGATTGAGGGCTCGACCTGGTTGAGCTTGTCTTGGAGAGCTTGAACGTTGAAGCGTCTAGGAGTTATGAGGAGAATGTCGTCTACATAACGGAGCCAGGTGACAGACGAAGGAATAATGGTGGAGAAACGCTCGGCTTCCAGATGTTCCATGTATAGCTTCGCCAGGACGGCACTTAGTGGCGAACCCATGGGTAGTCCAAAAGTCTGTTGAAAGAGGTGATTTTCGAAAGAGAAACACATAGTTCAACAAGGTAGATGAAATCGCTGGCTGGAATAGGAAGATCAAGTGAATCGTCAATTTTCCTGCGCAAGAGATCGATGGCTTGTGTAGTAGGTACTTTGCGCAGGAAAATTGACGATTCACTTGATCTTCCAATTCCATCTTCCTATTCTTCATCGCTATCCCACATAAGAGCATAGGAATGGAGGAACACTGCAGGTCTGCTCACAAACTTATCCAATCTCCCTTCCAAGCTACCCAAGATTTTAAACTCTATAACCCCACTCGGTACATCATCAGATGCAGCATTCTCCACCTGACCACAGCATTCTGAACCTGACTATAAATACTCACGTACCTTCCACCCCAGGTTTGTGACTTGAAAAAGCCCACTGTGTGGGCGAAACTGCATATGTGTTTATATTTCCATTGTGTCGGTATTTTATACCATTTATTTCCAAGTAACCTGCAGTTGGAAAAAGTGCAAAGCTTTCCAATAAGACTAGTGCCGAACTGAGGGATATGAGTTGTGAGGAGAGGCTAGAAGAGCTAAACCTGACGATATTAGAGGAGAACCTGAGATGACATGACTGTGACATACAAAGTTGTGACAGGAGCTGAGAGAATAGACCGGACAGTCTGCTGGAGACACGAATCTTAGGCTCAAATATGCACAGCTGAAACTTAAAAACACAGAATACAGCGATGTTAGGAAGTACGTTTTTAGCCTTTAAATTATCAGAAAGTGGAATGATCTAGAGAGCAAAATGGTAAAGGCAGGATCCACACACAGTTATCCAGTATCGACCAGCGGAGACGACCCCTGTAACCGTAGTTAGGTGTATACAATTAGGTGAGTATACACAGAGGTTCACAACAAGATTAGTAAAGCAGCTAAGAGGATTGTACTATGAAGAATGATTAAATGGACTGAACGTGACTTTATAGGATAGAACAGCTGAGGGAGACCTGATAACGCTGTGTAAATGATTCAGAGAATTTGATATAGTGGACATGGGCAGGTGGTTAGAGCAGAGTGAAATGGGTAAATGAAGGCACAGTTGGATATTATAGACACAGATGAGTCACAGGGATGCCAAGAAATACTGGGTGGTCAGGAAGTGAAATGACTGGATGAAGAAGTGAAGGTGACTGTCTTCATTCAGAGCTTTGGGAAGAAATGTGACGGGGCTCGCGAGGTTAGGAGAAAGTGAATCAGGCATTGACAAGTTAACAGTCTGGACCAGGAGTTGAATCTGATCTCTTTAACCGATAAGTAATTACAAATATGCAAGTACACTTTCAAAATGTCCTTCCACCTTTCCTTCTTCATCCCTGAGCCCTAGCAAGAAGGTGGCCACTGTACCTGAGGGTGGCAGTGATGGCGTCCTTGCTGGCCTGCTGAAGGATTACATCCTCGGGGTTCACACTGCCTGTTTCCAAAGACACCACTGAAACAATGAGCAAGATGTCATTATTTTTACTCTTAAGGAGAACGAAGTCAGTAGGTTGTTTAATTATGCTTAAAACTTATTGAATACTGAAAGGGTCATTAAGGCTGCATGTCACCTTTGACAGCTAGTCAAGAATGCTTCAATACCTAAAATAGGAATTAAAGCATATTTGCAGTGTATGCATAACAATAAGTATACACCACTTGGTGTATATATTTCTGGCCGATTGTCATATAATTTATGCATTAGAAGTTTTTGTACTTGTTCGTAGGTACGATAAAGGAAAGATAGGTGTATTTACCTATCTGTAACCCAGAGGATATACATTACGTGATAGCCAAGTGCTATCGCCTTCATGAGTTTATTTTACTTGTACAGTAGGGTATCAGTCCCTTGTCAGCTGTCACACAGTGCATTTCCAAACCACGTAAGGATGCTATCACAATCTCCTTTAATCTTAACGAGTTCCAGCTTTGCTCCGAGGTCGTTACATTTCTATTAGTGTTCTGAATGATTCATTTTTTATCTCTTTCGAGCCTTAATAATAATAATAATAACAATATATAATATATCTTTATTTACTACAAGTACATGTACAAGGTATACAGTCCTAGCTGACATCAGTGACATACTACTATATAGAAAGCCGCTTGTTAGGCAGAGCATTTCGGGCAAATTAAGTCAGTTTTGTCCCAGGATGCGACCCACCATGTCAATTAATTCCCAGGTACCTATTTTACTGATGGGTGAAGATAGACAACCGGTATAATGAAACACGCCCATGTTTCTACCCTCGCTGGGAATCGAACCAGACATTCGCCGAGTGAAGCGAGAGCTTTAGCCACCAGACCACGGGCACCGTTTGATATATTTATTCTCAATGCAGCCAAAAAACAATGGCAGTTTAGTGCATTTCAACAATTTCTTTATTAACTTACTGTTATGTAAAATTGCTTCATTATTCTCAGTGTTTCTGTTAATAATGGCGGACTTTTGTTTTACCTCATCCTCTTATTTGTTCATGTATTTGCTCTACTTATTCATATTCACAAAGCAGACATTCATATTAGAATTATATATGTTTTATTCCTTTCTCTGATTTTGTATCATCTAGAGAGTGATTAAATCTTTACAGGAGGACCCCGCTTATACAGCAGGTTAGCTGTAAAGTGATACATGCCTTTGTTTTTCACTTTCAAACACATATAAAAGCCTGATAACATCAATTATTAAATGAGCAATAGAACTAGGCCTAAAAAATGTACATACAGTACACTTATTACTGACCTTGAAATATTTTCTTCCGTATCTTATAGTAAGAGGGGAATATGTTTATTGTAGGAAGTCTGAATAAGTGAAGATTGAGGATAATTGAAAACCGCTGCATTAGCGAAGCGCTGTAAAGTGGGACTTGCTTGTGTTATTTTTCTTTATATGTTGCATAACATCATTAGATTTTTACTTGATTTAACACTTCATCATTTATTCCTATTAAGTCATGTGTATGTGTATGTGCATGTGCGTGTGTGTGTGTGTGTGTGTGTGTGTGTGTGTGTGTGTGTGTGTGTGTGGTGTGTGTGTGTGTGTGTGTGTGTGTGTATGTGTGTGTGTGTGTGTGTGTGTGTGTGTGTGTGATGTGTGGTGTGTGTGTGTGTGTGTGTGTGTGTGTGTGTGTGTGTGTGTGTGTGTGCTCGCGCGTGTAAGTGCCTACTAGGGAGGAGGTTGTGTCTACGTTACTAACCTCACAAATGACTATGGAAAATGACTATATTACTAACCAAATGAGTGTGACAAAGACTGCCAACAGCAGCAGGAAGATCCAGCACTGGCGGCCACCGCGGCTCTGCCCTCACCATGATGCTCGATGCTTGTGTCTGCCTATCAGTCTTTTCTCCCTTGCTTGCCTTTATACGGGCAAGTTCCTGGACTCGCCTAAGAGAAACGGAAAGTAGAAACATTTATAATTTTAAGTTCATTGGAAGCGTGGCCATGAGGGGTTTAGAGCACTTGCTTGTAAGCTCATTCGTTCTTAAGGATAAGGTGAACTGAGAGAGGATATGAATCAGTAAAGCATTAAATGCATTCGTACTCAAAAAAGTGAAGTACAATGAGAAAATCAATTTTGCAGTCAGAAAACAATCATAATACCCTGTGTATTGTACACGTTACTTTGAAAAGTGACCTTGAACACATCTAAGCTGGAAGATCTCCAACTGTAAGGTCCCCAACTGTAGGGTCTCCAACTGTAGGGTCCCCAACTGTAGGGTCAACAACTGTAGGGTCCCCAACTGGAGGATCTCCAACTGTAGGGTCTCCAACTGTAGGGTCTCCAACTATAGGGTCTCCAACTGTAGGGTTTCCAACTGGAGGGTCTCCAACTTTAAGGTCTCTAACTGTAAGGTCCCCAACTGTAAGGTCTCCAACTGCAGGGTTTCCAACTGTAGGGTCTCCAAATAGAGGGTCTCCAACTGTAGGGTCTCCAACTGTAAGGTCTGCAACTGGAGGGTTTCCAACTGTAGGGTCTCCAAATAGAGGGTCTCCAACTGTAGGGTCTCCAACTGTAAGGTCTGCAACTGGAGGGTTTCCAACTGTAGGGTCTCCAAATAGAGGGTCTCCAACTTTAAGGTCTCTAACTGTAAGGTCTCTAACTGTAGGGCTTCCAGCTGTAGGGTCTCCAACTGTAGGGTCTCCAATTGTAGGGTCCCCAACTGTAGGGTCTCCAACCGGAGGGTCTCCAACTGTAGGGTCTCCAACTGTAGGGCCCCCAACTTAGGGTCTCCAACTGTAGGGTCTCCAACTGGAGGGTCTCCAACTGTAGGGTCTCCAACTGTAGGGCCCCCAACTTAGGGTCTCCAACTGTAGGGTCTCCAACTTGAGGATCTCCAACTTTGAGTGTGGTTTACTTAAAAAAGAAATGTATGTTATACCCAAAACTTCAATAAAACTGAGTTAACTACCTATTCAATTAATGACTGTTGGTCAACCTTAATTAGAGAATACGTAGGATTAATTTTAACCTTTACAGGTAAAAATTTACTTCTTTTTTTTTTTTTGGATGAAACAGGGGAAAATTTAAATACTGATTTTCATGCAATAATTTCTGAGTTTCTCAACCAACTGGCTTCATCCATCATCCCTGTTAGTGTGCGACTAGTTAATGGCTCAGGTCAGAGTGGAACGTTGTCATAAGTTTCTTTCTCCTCTGTGCACGTTATTTGTGAAAATTCTGGGTTGATTGAATAAGATGGACGTATATACGCACATGTATACGTATACATATGAATTTACATGTATATATATATATTATATATATAGTATATATATATTATATATATATATATATATATATATATATATATATATATATATATATATATCAATAAAAACACTGCGCTAGCCAAGGAATCGAACCCGTGTTGTACTGGCCTGCCTCATGGTAAGCGAGAACCATGACGCTTTAAACCACAGGACCACCCAACCCTACAAGAATGGCGCAGCCAGCAATGCTAGCTGTTGGTCGCCATCCGAGGGCTGGCTGCGCCATTCTTGTAGGGTTGGGTGGACCTGTGGTTAAGCGTCATGTGGTTCTCGCTACCATTAGGCAGACCAGTACAACATGGGTTCGATTCCTTGGCTAGCGCAGTGTGGTTATTGATATATATATATATATATATAATATATATATATATATATATATATATATATTATATATATATATATATATGTCGGCCGAACAGGTAAAGCTTACTATTTTGGCTTAAATAACAACGGTCTTCTTGCCGAATAAGGCTGTTAACGCCACCCATATCATTATTATATTACTAACAGCCTAATTCAGCAAACCACTAAACTAGTTCTACTCAACATGTTGCAATCACACATGTGCACCCATACCTAAATGAACCCTCATGACAAGTAATGTTATATCACTCAAGTTGCAGTCTGTATAGCAGCACACCACCTAGACCACTGTAGCATTACAATACCTGTATGTAGCAGTAGCTGGGTGGGTTACACATTATGTCGATGGTCACGGCAGACCTAACTATTATATATCGACTTTCGCGACAGAGTTAACAGGATGTTATGTATTATATAGACGCTCACGAGGGAGTACCATGATGTTCGGGAAACTGGGGTAAATTACCCTAAATGGGGTAAAAATGAAAATCTCGGGGGTAATAAAGGCTCAATAAATATAAATATGGAATTGTACAAAAAAATTATTCTTTAATAAATAAGGCAAATTACGAAAGTTATTATTTTTTCAAACAATATTTGTAGTCTCTTAATAGAATTAAAAATCTAATTTTTAGGGACCATTTCTTAAGTTAGCATTGATGTAAGGATTGCAGCGGCTGGCAAACACCGCATCAGCAGTGACTTGGAAGCCGGCACGACAACCACACATTCCATTGTTGACGTACCATCACCTAACTTTTGCCTAGTGTCCTATCTCACTATCAGTAATTGTCTCTCCTTGCAGTCAATGGAAGTTCATTGTTTATGTTAGTAGGTTTAAGACTTTCGATGACCAATGAGATTTTTATTAAATATGTCTGTGACTGTTTTTTATTTCATGCAGTTTATTTTTCATTTTATTATTTGTTAATTTTGTATTTTATTTTTAAAGTTGCTTTATCGCGTATAATACAGACTTTTCAGTTTGTATGACTATTCTTCATTCAAATGGAATCAATAAACTATTTTGAATCTGAATGCTCCATGTGTTTTTCTGGATTCTGTGAATTTTCAAATCTATTGGATAATTTTACTGTATACGTATTTGTTTTGAGGTAATACTCAAAAAAAGTTCTCTGACGCCCTACTCTGGTTAACTTAGCAGGAGCATCAAGAGACTCTCTGGTATAATGATCAATCCTGCCCTTTTGTATAACATTGTTTAAGGCTGTGCACAATAGACTCCACTAAATAGCTATCGAGTTTGTACAGTCCATAATTTGAATTATTTACGGCATTCCTATCATGTTTCAAGA